GGAGCGGATCCCGGAGGGAGCGGGAATGAATTAACTGCCTCGGATTTTTCCATACAAAGGGGCCATAAAGTCACAGACATTTCCCCTTCCTTCAACCTTGGAGGTGATGCCTCGTTCTCCCTACGCTTGGCTCATCCCATCTTTCAGTCCACTCCAGGGATGCTCCTGAAGAAGAATGTGAAGGTGGAAGAACTCGGTGTCCCGGTGAGCCAGTCGGATCTCCGGGTCTCTCCATCATGTTCTGATGTTCCTTCAGGGAACTCACCCCTGTCCCCTGGGAAACAGCATTCCCCCCGATGTGCTCCGAAGGAAAACAAGGAACATTTGGAGCCCTTCCAATGGAAATATCCCCACACTGGAAGAATCCAGTCCCTCCCATCCCTTAGTTTCATGGAGAAGGTTGGATCTTGGAACGTGAGCCAGCCAGAGGAGGTTCCTGATGCCGGGATTCCCGGTGGATTTTCTCCCGGAAGAAAAGCCTCCAGTGCCGTTGCCATTCCCTCCAGCCACGTTTTGTCCACCCAGAAGAGCAGCAGAGATCCCAAGGATTTTGCTGCTGCTCCCCCTAGGGAGACAGGTTCTCTGGGAAGTTTGCACTTCCCATGTAAAAACTTCCTGCTTGTCCCCCCTCTTACGAGATCCCAGTCGGACAACGCCGTGAACGTTTCCAGCAGGAAACGTTCCTTGGCTGGGGTTATTCCACCAGCAAATTCCACAGAGGCACTGCAGCTTCCAGAAGAGAAAAACCATGTTTTAGGAGTGTTGGACAATAATTTAGGAGGCTCCACGATCCAGAAGGTTGTTTCTGGATCCAGTGGTGAAGACACGGAAAATAACAACACGGGACAAAGCTCAGATCCCGATGTTTTGGTTTCCAGTGTTGCTCTGCTCCTTAAAAAGGATGGAAACTCTCCAGCTGGTGATGGGAAGAATTGGGATGCTCCCGAAAATCGATCTCTCAGCCTGAATATTCCCGCTGGTCCCGTCATCCTGGACAACTCGGGGGCAATTTCCCCGGATAGTTTGAACGTTCCCGTTGATTCCGGGGGGAGCAGCCAGGGGGGTTTGGGATCCACTCTGAGCTCCGGGGGGGTCTCCAGCCACTTCCCCAGTACAGGAGGTGAGAACTTCCTCCCTGGTGGAGCAACTCCTTTGGAAACTCCGAAGAAGCAAGAGCTGGATATTGAAGAAAGGATCCCAGTAAGTGTGGTTTTGGTTTAACCTCTGGTGTCGGAGTTATCCCTTTATTTTTTCAGAGTTATCCATTTTTTTTAGAGTTATCTCTTTTTCCAGCAGTTTCCAGTGCCTAAAGGGGCTCCAGGAGAGCTGGAGAGGGACTTGGAACAAGGGATGGAGGGACAGAACAAGAGGGAATGGGTTCATAGTAGAAAAGGGGAGATTTAGGTGGGATATTGGGAAGGAATTCTTGGCTGTGAGGGTGGGCAGGCCCTGGCCCAGATTGGGCAGAGAAGCTGTGGCTGCCCCTGGATCCCTGGAAGTGTCCAAGGCCAGGTTGGAACAACCTGGAATAGTGAAAGGTGTCCCTGCCCATGGCAGGAGGTTGGAATGAGATGATCCTTAAGTTCCCTTCCAAGCCAAACCATTCCATGTTTCCACGATGGTGATAAAAAAGTGAAATCTTGTGAATAACTTGGTTGTAGCTCTTCCAGCAGATCCCTGATGTGCCATTCCTGAGCTTCCAGCTCCTTTCAGAAGCTCAGGTTATAATTATCCAAACAGGAGGCTGAGACTCGAGTGCTGAGTAAGGAAAGGCAGGAGAACTGAACTGCACACCCCCACAGCTCTGCAGGAATAGCAAACCCACCCCAGAAATCCTTGGGAATGAAATCTCTTTTGATTTGCTATAAATACCCATTTTTGCTTGTTCACTTTGTTCTGCTTTCTAAGGCCCTAAACTCTTTAATTCTTTCCATATTGCTCCTAAAAGACATTCAGAGCCACTTCATTCCTTCCCTCCTTTCTGCCTTCCTTTCCTAATCCAGATTTCTTCCCTGCTTTGGGAAGGTGGGAGAGGGTGGAGAAGCAGCCCTGTTAACTCTGCTAATGGCTCTTGAGTGGTGGAGAAAATGAGATGCAGATTTATGCTAATGAGAAACGTGTCATTATCCCCCGAGGGAGAGGCTGCTCCTCTCACAGGGTGACTCCCATAATAATCAGCTCTTTGGGGATGGGTTTTAAAAGCTTTTTTTTTTTCACTCTGTTTTCTTTGCAAAGAGGTGTTGAAACAAATATAAATATTGTAGGGGTGGTGTTTGAAACCAAATTCAGGAGATACAAAGGTGATTTATGTTTCTGATTATGATTAGGCCTAGTTTGGAGCCCTGTTTCTGAGGAATTCTGCTCCCAGAAATCACAAGGTAAAGGAGATCAGGTCACTTCTGTGGCTGTTAATATGTAGGTTTAGCATAAAATCAGAGGAAGTAGAGTTGGCCACCATCCATGAAGTAATTAATCTCATTTTCTTGGCATGTTTAGGACGTAGGATGGATGAGTTGAAATGCATTTGCTTCTGCAGAGGATTAAATCCAAGAAAATTTTGGGTTCTTTTTTGAGGCAGATGATTTCTGTATGTAAACTTAGAAAAATTGCTTCCTCAGAAGGTCCTAAACTACCTTTAGTAGGTTCTTAAACCTCCATGAGACTCCTTCAAAATCCATTAATTCAGGGAATGCTGCTGTGTGTGTCTGACTTGACAATCTCCTGGTGTTTTCCTGGGAAAGTTGAGAGTAGGTTTAGGTTGGATATGAGGAAGGAATTCCTGGCTGTGAGGGTGGGGAGGCCCTGTCCCAGGTTGGGCAGAGAAGCTGTGGCTGCCCCTGGATCCCTGGAAGTGTCCAAGGCCAGGTTGGANTTTCCCCCTTTATTTCCCTTCTCCTCCTTTATTTCCTTTCTCCCCCTTTATTTCCCTTCTCCCCCTTTATTTCTCTTCTTCCCTTTATTTCCCTTCTCCCCCTTTATTTCCCTTCTCCCCCTTTATTTCTCTTCTTCCCTTTATTTCCCTTTCCCCCCTTTATTTCCTTTTCCTCCCTTTATTTCCCTTTCCCCTTTATTATTTCCCTTTCCCCTTTATTATTTCCCTTTCCCCTTTATTATTTCCCTTTCCCCTTTATTATTTCTCTTCCCCCTTTAATATTTCCCTTCTCCCTTTATTATTTCCCTTCTCCCTTTATTATTTCCCTTCTCCCCTTTATTATTTCCCTTTTCCTAGGAGTTTTTAAGGAGGAAATGCTTTGTATCTGAAGATTAAACAAATATGACCAGACTTTTTCTTCTTTTGAGGGGAAGAAATCTCGGTTTCTTTTTTCCTTCTGGGACTTCTTGGCACGGGACAAAAAGTTCTCAGCATTTTTATAACTGACCAGAGCTGTTCGTAAATCTATCCACATCATAATAATAATAAAAATAATAATAATAAAATAATAATAACCACCAAATCAATATGATTTAGCAGGAGTTGAGTCATTTCTATGTGAAGAACAGTGTGCCCAGGTGGGGTTAAGATGTCCTTCTGTGGCTTCCCTGTGTGATAGATCATTAAAATGGGAAAATGTGCCTTAAAACTACTTCCAGTGTGGGATTTCCTCAGTGGATTCTGGTTTGGGATTTAAATCCTGTATCCAGTGGGAAGGGCAGAGCTGGAGGCTCTTCACCAGTCCCTGTCTAAGCCTTTCCATATCTGGGCCTTCAACCACCCCGTGTCTCTCACCAGAAGGGATTAAATGCATTTCTTACTTTCTTTTATGATTTTTTTCCCCTTTTTTAAGGATTATGGGAGACTTGGAGCTTAAATCACCTGACATTTGGTACAAGGGAGGAGTTTTCCTCAGTAGAACCCTGGAATCATTCAGGTTGGAAAAGCCCTCTGAGACCATCCAGTCCAAACATTCCCCCAGCACTGCCAAGGCCACTAATCCATGTCCCCAAGTGCCACATCCACAGGAATTTTTAGATCCCTCCAGGGATGGGGACTCCCCCCGTGCCCTGGGCAGCTGTGCCAGGGCTGGACAACTCTTTCCAGGAAGAAATTTTCCCTATTATCCAATCTAAACCTTCTCTGGTGCAACTTGAGGCCGTTTCCTCTCCTCCTGTCCCTTGTTCCCTGGGAGCAGAGTCTGACTCTCCCCAGCTCCAACCTCTTTTCCCTATTTAACTGGGCTCTGGATAACTTATTGTACTTGAAACTATTAGGACCTTCCTAACCAGTAGTGGGAAACAAACTTATCCATAGTGTGTGCTTTGCCATTTTCCAGAAGGATATTTTGGAAGTACTTCCCCCCCCAGCCCTCCTGTTTTATTCAGGGGTGGTTTTATAACCCAGGTGTGCATTTGGACATTCAAGCACCACTGTGTCATTTATCTAAGAACATTTATTTCAAATCTAGTCTAAGCATTTATTTAAAAAGAAGTTATTTAAGTCAAGTTCTGTAGTTTCTTTGATATTCATCCAAAACAGTCTAAGAGGTTTCTTCCAGTGGAACAATTCTCATGGAAGTCTGAGCTCAAATCTCATTCTAAAAATGAGGGAAAATTCCAGTATTTGAATTCTTCCCTCTCTCTTTCCAAACCCTTTAGTACAAGAAAAATCAGTCTTTGCTGATGCAGTAAATTAGTTAATGAATGTCCTGTGCCTTTGCAGGTAAATTGTTGCCAGCATTTGAGGTGGTGCCAACGGGTTTTGACTCCGACACTTCCGCTCTCAGCATTTCCATTCCCATGGAGTCGGAGGTTGGCTCTGATGTTCTGTCACCCCAGGAGCTCTCTCCCAGCTTCCCAAAATTTTTTGGAGACAACCCAGCGAGCCAGTGCAGTGTGTCATGCCACCAGCTGGAGGTGGATGCTCCGATTTCCACACAAGATCCAGAGTGTCCTGCTGTCTCCAGACTTGTTGGAGCGAAGCAGGATCCACTCGACTGCTCTTCTGACACGGGGAGTCCCCTCCTTGTTCTGACCAGCACTCAGGATCTTGCTAAAAACGAGTCCAAAATTTTGGACAGCAGCCTGCAGAGATGGGCTGCTGGTGTTTTGGCTGGAGCTCAAGATGGAGTGGAAGCTGACAGAGGATCCCAGACCTCCAGTGTGGGAAGTGAGAGAAATAAGGAGCAAGGAGGTGATTCTTTGCTGGGGTTGGGTGTGTTGAAGGACATCCGGGAGCTCCTGGCAAAGGCAGAGGATTTGAGTGCCAGGTGGTGTCCTCCTGCCTTTTCCATGGCCTCTTGTAGAGAAACTGGGGAGTCTTCCCTGGTGCTGCTGAGACAGGAGGATGATCCCAGAGATCCCAGGTGGGCGAAGGACAGAACCCCTCAGTTCCAGAAGAGACCGTCGTGGGATGAGGCTGCGACCCGGCCAAGTGTGCGAGAAGAAAGGTTGGGAATAAACCCTTGGAATTCTGACACGTGTAACTTAAGGTGGGAGAACCCTTTGGACATCAACTTGCACCGCGGCGAAGGGATGAAGGAAATATCCCAGGAGTTCAGGGCGGGAAAATCGGCGGGAAGGTCGGAGCCGGAGGGTTGTAGCAGCGTCACCACGGACAGGAACCAACGTGCCCTGGTGGGCCTGGCACAGAGCAGTGCCAGCAGTGAGGGCAGCACCGGGGCAGCCTCAGAGCTGGGCAATCCTCCTTCCTCAGAGCCCCCTGGAAGCATCACTGATATCCCAGGAACCTTCCAGAGCACGTCCCAGTCTGGTGGAGCTGGAAGCAAAGCCGGCGGCGCCCGGGGGAGCGACGAGAGCAGCAGCGGAGATTCCCTGGCTGCCCGTGTCAGGAACCTCCTGGGGAATCCTCCCCCCTCATCAGAGCATCCCCCTGGCACAGGGGGATTCCAGAGCATCCTGAGTGGAGCTGGTGGTGCCAGGATCAAGGGAGGAGGGCTGGGGGGCAGCGGCAGCAGCAGCAGTGGGGATTCCCTGGCTGCCCGTGTCCGGACCCTCCTGAGGAGTGGATCCCCTGGGATAGAGGCAGCCCGAATCCTCAGGAATGCAGAGGAGCAGGAGAGGAAAATCCGAGGTGAGGAAACATCTCTGTTGTGTTTTATTTGTTATATTTTATTATTAAAACGACAAATCTTTATTTAGGTTCGTGTTTAAGGGGTCGCTTTGATGTGGATATGAAGGGATCTGTGTCTGCTCCCCTGATTTTGGAGGTGATTATATCATATTATAACAATCAGCTTTAATAGGACAGGGCTTAAATGATGGATATTTTTTAGTACTCCTATGTAAAATGGGATAGAATTGGGCTTTTCCACTCGGAAAACCTTTTGCCTGACATTGATATTTTATTAGCTCGAGAATTCGGGACGGGATTGTGTGAGTGAGTTTTGATTTATGGCTGAGACTACAGGAGGAAGATCCTGGATCCATCTCTCCAAAGAAATGTTCCAAAATCCCATTGTATTCCTGGTCATTTACATTGTAGTTACAAATACATTTACATTGTATTCCTGGTCACTCCAGGAGCTCTGGAATTCCACAGTGGGGCTTTGTTCCCTCGGTCGTGGGAACCTAGAAATGATTTTAAGTTATCAAACTGTTTTCATTCCACAAAATGGGAAAGGAAAACTCTTCCTGGTTTGTTTTGTTTTGACAGCCTGGGTGAAGCTGAGACTGGCCAACAGATCCCAGGAATCTCTGCCAGACTGGGATGAGGAGACCCAGCAAAGAATCGAGGAAATCAAGGCAGAGCTGCTCCTGAGGGCCAAGAAATCCGTGCAGGCCAAGGTACAAACCAGCTTTTCCACATGTTCCTGTGAGGGTTTTTTTAATTGTTTTCCCCAAGTAGGAGTTGGAATCTTGAGGGAGGAGCTGTCTGGGATGTGGGGAGGGGACACAGAGCCGAGGATGTTCCAAAGGAAGGTCTGGAGGGCACAGATGTGTTGGGAAAATTCGTGTTATTGTGACAAAGTTCTGCAGATTCTGCTCCTGGAGTGGCTCGAGGAGCTCTTTTCCCAAAATATTTATGCAGGTGCTGGTTGTGCCTTGGAAACTCCTCCTCCAGGGAAGGAGCTCCCTGGACAATGGAATATCCTCTGGGCAAGGGGAGTTTTTGTTGTCTTAATTCCCGTGAGATCCTTGGTTTTCAAAGGATCTTCAGGGAAGGAGGGAGGGAATTATTCCTGCTCTGTGTTGATCAGAGGGAAGGGGCTTTTCCAGTTCCTGTTGGAATCCAAACTCCTTCAAGGTAAGGAAAATTCTGGAATGGTAATCACTGGATGTTCTTAAAAGCTTGGGAAGTATCTGTAGGATAATCCAGTGCTGATTTGGGGCAGGGCAAGCTGAGCTTCCAGTCTCTTGCAACTCTGTTTTCCTGGGAAAACCTGCCATGTAATTGTCATGTTTTGTGTATCTCCTTGGGAACATTTCTAGTCCATATATTAACATAAATATCCACACTGGAATTTTTCTAACCAGGAGTATTTTACCTTCTTTTTTTCCCCCTTTAAATATCTTTTTTATTTTGGCATTGTCCAGTGTGATTATGGAAATCCCAGGATTTCCAGGGACTGGTGTTTCAGACAAGTGTCCTGAGCTTTAGGAAGAACTTCTTTTCTTTTTTTCCCTTTCTTTTTTCCCTTTCTTTTTTCCCTTTTTCCCCTTTCTTTTCCCCCCCCTTTCTTTTTTCCCTTTCTTTTTTCCCTTTCTTTTTTCCCTTTCTTTTTTCCCTTTCTTTTTTCCCTTTCTTTTTTTCCCTTTCTTTTTTTCCCTTTCTTTTTTCCCTTTCTTTTTTCCCTTTCTTTTTTTCCCTTTCTTTTTTCCCTTTCTTTTTTCCCTTTCTTTTTTCCCTTTCTTTTTTCCCTTTCTTTTTCCCCTTTCTTTTTCCCCTTTCTTTTTCCCCTTTCTTTTTCCCCTTTCTTTTTCCCCTTCCTTTTTCCCCTTCCTTTTTCCCCTT